TTTGTCTAAATTCTTCACTTTAGAATTTGATCAATTATTTGAGGGGTAATTAGAATTTGAGGGGTAATTAGTGGTGTCCCCGAAGGGTAAGTCCTGGGACCAATCCTTTTCAACTTATTCATAAATGATCTGGAGAAAGGGGTAAGCAGTGAGGTAGTAAAGTTTGCACAGACTGTGAAGAACTTCAAAAAGATCTCACCAAACTGAGTGATTGGGCAAAAAAATGGCAAATGAAATTTAATGTGGATAAGTGTAAAGTAATGCACATTGGAAAAAATAACCCCAACTATACATACAATATGATGGGGGCTAATTTAACTACAACTAATCAGGAAAGAGATCTTGGAGTTATCGTGGATAGTTCTCTGAAAACGTCCACACAATGTGCAGTGACATTCAAAAAAGCAAATAGGATGCTAAGAATTATTTAAAAAGAGATAGAAAAGATGAATATCCATATCTTACTGCCCCTGTATAAAACTATGGTATGCCTACATCTTGAATACTGTGTACAGATGTGGTCTTCTCACCTCAAAAAAGATATTTTGGCCTAGGAAAGGGTTCAGAAAAGGGCAACTAAAATGATTAGGGGTTTGGAACGGGTCCCATATGTGGAGAGGTTAAAGCGACTGGGACTTTTCAGTTTAGAAAAGAGGAGACTGAGGGGGGATATGATAGAGGTCTATGAAATCATGAGTGGTGTGGAGAGGGCTGATAAAGAAAAGTTATTTATTAGTTCCCGAAATAGAAGAACAAGAGAACACCAAATGAAATTAATGGGTAGCAGGTTTAAAACTAATAAAAGAAAGTTCTTCACACAGCGTGTAGTCAACCTGTGGAACTCCTTGTCAGAGGAAGCTGTGAAGGCTAGGACTATGACAGAGTTCAAAGAGAAGCTAGATAATTTCATAAAAGGCTATTAGCCAGGGGATAAAATGTTGCCCTTGGTCTCTGTTTGTCAGAGGCTGGAGAGGGATGGGAAGGATGGCAGGAGACAAATCACTTGATCATTGTCTTCAGTCCACCCCCTCTGGGGCACCTGGCACTGGCCACTGTCAGCAGACAGGATACTGGGCTAGATGGACCTTTTTTTCTGATCCAGTATAGCCATTCTTATGTTCTTATGTAAATCAGAATTGCTTTGTTGGCACAAACCAATCGTTTATCCAGTCCAGTATTTAATCTTCAACATTTACAAATGCCTAGTACTTCAAAGGCAGATACAACTTCCAATAATACAGCTAATGGTGCAACACTGTACTATTAAGGGAGGAATCAGAGTGATGGACTTCGAAATTTTATCCTTGCTACTGACATTTCAGATATTATTTATATGCAATTTTAAACATATGTTTTAAACAGAGTTGTTTTCTTCAATAACATGACAGCTAAGAATTACATTCTTTGGATTTTGCATTGGAGAAATATATTTTTTTATGTTTTTAAATGTGAAGGGTTTTTATTTCATCAAGGGTTCTCTTTTACTTAAATCAGGGGTGGGCAATAAAATGACTCTGGCTCACCAAGGTTAGTCTATATTTATCTGCATCTCTACAGGTAAGGGCGATCATAGCTCCATTTGGCTGTGAATGGCAATCTGTGGCCAAAGGAGCTGTGATGCCCTATATCTGAGGAAGCTCAGGTAAATACAACAGTGTGAGGGCCTGCCTGGGCCTAACCCTAGCAGATCAGATCCAATATTTGCCCCATGACTTAAATCATGGGAAGGACTTGAATTGCTTCTTTACAGTCATTTGTATTATATAGTCCTATATCACCTTAAGCTTTTTCTCATATGGATACCCTCTTTTCATTCCCAAATACCTCTAATAATTTCCATTGCTCTCCCTCTTGACCTTTTTTATGATATAATTGTATCCAAAATTGAATGTAACTTTCAAGATGAGACTATAGTATCAATTATACTAAAGAATATTTTCTACTAATGTATTTATGGGTTTGATTGGCACTATAAATTGAGCGTGTACTAAATCTTTACTGGGAGAGATTACAACTAATTCAAAATTAGATAAATTTAAAATAATAGGGCCTGTCTTTTTAAGAAGCAATTTTAAACATAGTTCATGATGTAGTTTTAAGGTGGGTTTTCTGGTAAAACAACTGATGCAGAACTAGATAATAAAGCAGAACAATGCCTTCCTCCAAAACTTACAGAAGCACAAAACTTGAAAACAAGGCCAAGGCAAAGCATCTTATATTTATCAGGCTATGTGCACTAACAGAGAGCCAGCTGAGAAGTTAGGAATTCCTTTTAGTACTTCTCATTACCTCTAATATTTTCCTATGCACCACCATATTAGGAAGGGGATACAGAGGTAGAACAGACTGATTGGCACTGTTACTAATGGGAGATTGTTAGGTTAAAAAGCCAGTTATGTTTTTCAAGGTCTCCTCTCTTATGTCATTAATAAATACTTTATTAGGATCAAAGGACTGGAAGGGACCTCCTAGGTCATCAAATCCAGGACTATGCAATACCAGTCATATAATCTTGTTCATAAACTTAAAACTCCATCTTCAAACTACAGTACTTGGATTGTTTGCTCTAACTGTTCCTACTGAAAGGCTGTTCCAGAACCTTACACCTCTGGTGGTTAAAAGCCTCCTAATTTCCAATCCTAATTAGCATTGGAAGCACTGATGAACTTCTGAATATATTTCAACATTTAAATCAGAGAGGTAAAAGCCCATTTAATTGATTAACCAGTTAAACATATTATTTAACCAGTTAACCAATTAAAGGGGAAGATAGAAAGGGGGTTGCTCCATGCTAGTTGGAATGGCTCCCCCCGCCAGGCTCTGGGCTGGGGCAGTCCCTGCCTGCTGGTCCTCACCATGGACAGAGGCTGCTCTTGCCAGAATGCAAGAATAGCTCTTGACTGCGGGATGCTGGGCTCTGCTGAAGTAGCCCCTGTCCACAACAGGTCACAGGGCTGGAACAGTCCCCTAATCCGAGCAGGTGGGGAGCTGCTCCAGTCCCCACCAGTTAAACAAACATTCACATACCTAATTTATACTGTTTGCTTTCTTTACTTTACTCAACCTGGACAATAAAAACTGACAGGCTGTGTCTGGTTCTCATGCACTACGTACAATGTTGCCATGAGAGTTTAAGAAGAGTGTTGAGGACTTTTAAATCTAAACAGAGGGTTTTTATTTAAATGGGGGAAGTGGTATATGCTGCATGGCAGTGTAATATTAAGTGCATTAAGAGATCTAGAAACTATTAGTCTAAACATGAAAAATTGAAAGTGATATTCCATCTGAACATTTAGTGTTTATCATGAAATATAAGCATTCCATAATGTGAAAAGCAAAGATGTTAACCCTGTTTGCCATATACACACATATTCTAATCTTAAATATTCTGCAATGTAATTTAAGCCTTATTCAAGGGCAAGCCTTTAGCAAACAATGTAACATACTATTTGCTACGCTCTCTAAAGCTACATATTATATGTATGGAGAAAGAGAAAGAATACACTAATTTCAGGGTCTTCAACAAATGAAAAAAATGCAAAGAATAAAATTCAGACAATTCTGGTTCCTAGTAACCATTAATGTATCTTCTCAAATATTTCAGTTTAAACAGGGATTGACCTTTATATTGGTAACATACATCATGACAAGCTATACTTACTGTTTCACAGTTGAAGTAACTAAAAACTTATTGTATAAGGCCTATTTACTGACACATTTTTAGCAGTTTTAGATATGTTAACTAGTCCTCAAAAGCAAATTACCTCTTTGTATCCAGGACCTTGTAACACAGCACTGGAAATACATCATTAAAATAATTTAGAAAAGCAATTAACATATTTATGTTGTGTATGTACATAAAGAATACTTAATGCAGGGAGTATAACAAAACATGTTAAGCCAGTCTTAGTCAGTACATTTGCTTTTTTATTTTAGAATATACATCTGGATAAAAAAAGTTTTAAATAAGTTTCAGTACATGTACAACAATGGAACCCTTCATTTGTCCAGTAAAATACAGAGATGTAGTTTAGTAAACTGGCTCTATTCTGGGTATTATAATTTTTACAACAGTTTTTTAAAAATTTTCATTGGCTTATTTTCAGCCTCATATCAGCCAGCTATATAGCCAGGAAATACATGTACAATTCTGTCTCCTTATTTAGAGGGGAGTAATAACTGCTCACCCTGGAAGGAGCAAAAAAATTGAATAAACTAATATTGATTAATGTACATCTTTCTGTTTGTGCGTTGGTAAAAAATAAGGTGACTGCAATTCTAAGAGCATGCAATGAAATATTACACTTTATATACACGTCTTTTATTGTTATAAAAGTAGTGCAAAACAGGAAAGAAAGAAGTGATGCAGTCTCCACTAAGACGGCTGTAACTGGCCTCGGCCACCTTCCGTCATTCATTCAAAGCTCCCACCGTCCGGGAAACTTGACACGCCCCACACACACACTGCGCTTGCAATTCTAAGAGCATGCAATGAAATATTACACTTTATATACACGTCTTTTATTGTTATAAAAGTAGTGCAAAACAGGAAAGAAAGAAGTGATGCAGTCTCCACTAAGACGGCTGTAACTGGCCTCGGCCACCTTCCGTCATTCATTCAAAGCTCCCACCGTCCGGGAAACTTGACACGCCCCACACACACACTGCGCT